GGGTGTGCAAGAGGCAGCTGGTCGATGTTTCTCTCTCATCGACATTTCTAGCTCTCTATCTCTCTCCCTTCCTCCTCTCTGTAAAATATCAATAAAATATATATTTTTTAAAGAAGCATATGCTATGTGATTCTTTGTGACAAGTTTGTATCATGCCTATTCTATTCTTTTAAAAATATATATATTTTATTGATATTTTACAGAGAGGAAGGGAGCTAGAAACATCGATGAGAGAGAAACATTGACCAGCTGCCTCCTAAACACCTGCTACCGGGCATGTGCCCACAACCAATGTACATGCCCTTGACTGGAATCAAACCTGGGACCTCTCAGTTCACAGACCATCTATCCACTGAGCCAAACCGGTTTCTGCAGTGCCTATGCTTATTAAACAAAATTTATAGTTATAGAAGCAGAGACTCAGAGTGGCAAAATATTATCTGATTCTAAAACCCTTGTATTTCTTCACCTCGCCACATGCCTATGAATTTTTTTTTTAATGTTCAAATACCACTTCCGTGTGTGTGTGTGTGTGTGTGTGTGTGTGTGTGTGTGTGTGAAGGTTTTCTTTGCTCAAAGATCAGAAGATCAACACTTGTGAACAATTTGTTCTCTGGCAGAGAACAGCTCTGGGTATTGAAATAGCACTGAAGAGCATCTAATATCATGCTGAAATAGAAGTAAAAGTAAGTATTTTACAGTGGGCCTATGGTTCTTCTGCCAATAAAATAAAAATGTGAAAAGGAGATGTCAGATTTCCTAATCCTGAAGATAAAGCATGAAAACGTTGAGGAAATAAAGTGTTGGGAAAACGTTGAGTGCAGAGAGGGGACCCCTGGGAAGGACAGTTTGGTTCAGCGCTTGTGGAGCACAATCTGGCAGTGTGTCAAGTCGAAAATCTGCACACGGTTAGGCATGCTCACTATGGCGCTCTCTACAATAACCGAAAAGCTAGAAACATCAGAAGCGGTAAAGTAGCATCGCCTGGTTCAAAAATCCTTGCTTTTCATTGTGTGATGTTCTTACATGAAAGAAAAAAAAAGACATATTATTAAATGGAAATGTTGGGTAAAAACATTATGATAATCTCTTTTTTGTATTAAAAAATACATCAATGCCAAAAATACTGAACACCTTTTGCTTTCAGACGCTGTATCAATTATCTATTGTTGTGCAACAAATTATCTGCAAATGTAGCATCTGAAAAAAATAACTTTTATTCTCTGACATGATTTCTGAGGGTTAGGAACGGGGTATGTCTCGATTGGGTGCTTCAGGCTCAGGCTCTCTCATGAGGGAGGTGGCAGTCAAGTTGTCAACTGCTCCAGTCCTTGCCATTTCTGAAAACATGCCTAGAGCTGGAGGAAACCCTTCCATGCCCGTCCTCACAGGTCTTGGCAAGAAGCCTCAGTGCCTTGCCACATGGGCTGCTCATGAGCCTTTCCCCAAGTGAGGGGAGGGAGTTGGGGAAGAGGAGGAAGGAAGGGGCTTAGACAGAAGCCACAGTGTCTTTATAACACAGTCTCAGAAAAGACACCACCACTTGGGCTGTGTTCTATTGGTCAGTGTGAGGCCATTTTAAGAGTGTGACTACCTTGAGAAAGGGGCACTGAAGGCCATCTTGGGCTGTGCCTGTCATAGCTCATCCTCACTCTTGTCCAAAGCCCATAAAAGTCTTATCCCATTACAGCACCAGTTAAAAATTCCAGAATCCCATCATCTAAATCCAGCGTAGGTGCACACGAGGCTCCTCAGATGTCATTCCTTCAGGACATTTCCTCTTAGTTTAAAGATTGTAACTGAAGAGACAAGTCTTCTGTCCCCTGGCTGGCCAACATACAAAAGTGGGATAATAGTAAAATAGTCACCATATAAAGGAAGAAAAATGGGAGGCATACAGGGGCTAGTGAGCCACAAAAATTCTGAAATCCAGCTGAGCAAATGTCAGAAGCTCCTTGACTGAGTGTGTCCCCTGAGCCCAGTTCTTTATTGTCCATGGCTCTTGGGTTCACCCATGGCTCTTGGTTTTTTCCTCCTGGACTTCCAACCTCCAGAACTGTGAGAGTACAAATTCATGCTGTTTAAGCCTTCCCAATATCTGGCATTGTGCTATGGCAGCCCAAGCAGACTAATTTATCCTTCTTCTGAAGATATCTGAAAACGTCCTTGCTATTGCCCAATCCAAATTTACTCTTCTTTTTAAAAATCATTTTTGATGCATATAACTACACATCAATGTATATAATTTGTTTCTATACAGAATGCATATGATTAGATTTGTTCCTAATATAATCTGAGAGTCTGCTTTCACTGGAAGAATTGGAACCTATCATTTCACGTTAGGGCCCATTTCAGATCTAACCTCCACCTTCCAGAGGTGGAAGCCCAAGCTTAGGACTGTAGGATGGAAATGTGACAGAAGATGCCTTTCAGGCTTACTGTGACTGAATTTAGGGATCACATTGTAATGAGAAAGTTGTGTTCAAAGAATCACCAGGTCAGTGCATTTCAAGACCAAATCCTTACTCTTCAGAGCCAGGGGGCGGAACTTGCACTTCGCCCAGTCACAGGAGAGACAGCGGGGACCTCACCATGACAAGGAACCAGATTTCAGGAAGCGATTCCAGAGGAGCTCTCCATCTGAGGAGCCGGCGTCCGGGGGAGCTCTGCAGCTGCCCTTCCAGCCTCCATGTAGGTCACCAGGAGCAGCTCAGGGTCTCTGAGACCTCTGAGAACAGAGAACGTGCTTTCTCACTCACTCTTCATTGCTCTCTCTCTGATCACACAAACTTCTGGTCACTTAGTTATCTTTTCTGTATCTTCTGCGGTGATTTGCATAGCAAGCATCCTATGTCTAGAACCCATGTTGACTTTCCATTTAATAAAACATATATTTTAATCTAAGTTTCTCTAATGATCAAAGTCAGAGCAAAACAATGTCTTTTGCCTACCTTGCAATTAAAGTAAGAAGCTGAGCAAGTTCTTACTTTACTTTAGCTTTTATCTTACCTTAAAATACATTATAAACCCAATCTATTATATAACAAACCAGTCCAGATTTTTTTTTAATTCATGTTCTTCCCCAAAATATTTTTAGCTTCTGAACTTTGTAACTATTTTTTAAAAACACAGGGACTACCAATCCTTTTATATCTTGACTTCCTTATTTCTAAGTTATTAATTTTGATTTTGTTTGTTTGTTTTAGAGAGGAAGAGGGAGAGGTAGAGAGAAACATCAATGTGAGAGACAAACATCAGTCAGTTGCCTCCCGCATGCACCCGACTGGGGATCAGATACACAATCTGGATATGTGCCCTGAATAGGAATCAAACTTGCCACCTTCTGGTGTATGAACAACGCTCAAACCAACTGAGTCACCCAGCCAAGGCGAATATTTATTTATTTGTTTGTTTGTTTATTTCCTATAGAGAAGTCTTTGAATAATTTTTCAGGAAGACCAAATGGGTGAAATTGCCTCTGATTCTTAGATATCTGAAAATGTCTTTTCACTGCCTGGCCTCTTGGGTTAAATTTGGCTTGGAATGGCATGCTCAGATCATGAAGTTTCCTCTTTAGAGAAGCAGTTATTTCTCCATTTAGAACTGGTGAATAAAACGGGAGCTAGCCCTATTTTTTCCCTTTGTAGGTGAACTGTTCTTTTCTGTCTGGTTGCTCGTATGATAATATCTTTTCTCTGGATATAGACATTCTCGCCTCCTCCCCCCTTCAAAATCTTGATTGTTTTTACACTAAGGGAAATATTTTCTATTTCATCTGTGATTATTACTTCTGCTCTGTTTGTTCCAGTATTTTCAGGAGGATCTGTTACCCACAGGTTGGATTTATACTCCTTTCACTCTGTGTCTGTTATGACATCCCATCTGTATACTTTACACAGGAAAGCGGTTCATAGATTATATTTTATCCATTGTCAAGTCTGCTCGTTGGTGCAACTGTAGCATTTTTATGTTTGCATCCTTCTCTCATTTTGACTGTCTCCATGCTTGATCAGGGCAGGTTACCTGGAGTGACTTAAACTCACCTGCAGGGTGGCATCAGGCAGGGCCTGACCTCAGATCTGTATAGGGAGCATGGCCTGCCTTGGGCCACCCTGGCCCAGTCCCCAGCAGGTGTCATCAGTCTGGCTCTGGTGCACCAGTTGGAGCCAAAGCACACTGTGCTCTCAGGGATGCTCTGCCTCCAGAGCGTTTCCTAAGGGAACATCCATCCCCATATGGGACTCGTCCTCCTCTCCCTACTCACTCCGAGGTGTACAGGAAGTTGTGATTTTGGAATCCATATGAAACGGAAGGAGGCGTGCATGGGACCCCCATTTTGGCCCTTTTGTGAGCCTTATTCCCATGCAGAGGGTAACAGTGGTCTGTTTTCAGGTTACAAGAGCCCGGCTCCCTGAGCCTGGCAGAGGTTGGGATAAGCAGATCCTCTCTTGAGTTGTCTATTCAGCGTTGTGATGAGAAGATAAAACAGATGTTGCTGGGGTGGGGACCAGCCCCACGGGCATTGTACTTGGTGAACATTCCTTTTAGATTTCTATCAATGCTCATGCTAGGTTTAGGTCTTTGCAGAGAGTCACGAGTGTTTTAATAGGAAAGAGAGTGCATCTCAGGCTAATCCAGTGGTTAATTTTGACATATGCCTGGCACACTTCCCCCCAGAGAACAATGCTCTTCTTATACATAGAGAATGAATTTTCAATCCCAATTAGGGCCCCAGATCACTCCATTCTCCAACTCCCGTGGCAGCCAAACCATGCTGGCGGGTGGAATTCTGGAGATGGGCACCCAGGGTTCCATACAGCGGGAGGGCCTCCAGCACAGACGGGCGGTCAGGTCAGTGCAGTGGCCGGTAGGGAGTCCGGCTGCTCCCAGAAGCTTATCATTACACTGATTCCGCCCCGACCACAACCAGCGGACAGGTCACCAGTAAGAATGTGTCTTACACACATCAAGAGGGAAAATGTAACATGATGTATCCTTACCTTGTAATCCATTCTGGCCACCGAACCCCGCTGAGGAACCCTTTCGTGAAAATTCACCGCTTTCAACAGAAAGGTGAGGTTACTGACTGTGTCCCTGTTAAATCCCAGGAAACTGAAGGAAAAACAGTGGCCATCATCCTTATTTGTCCTCACCAAGGAACACAGTTGAAAGAAATGGACAGGGCTTGTGTTTTCAAAAGGGATTTTCTTCCAGTGGAGACGTGGTGTCAGTATATAACTGCGCCTTTGATTCGTGCTTCTGAAGGTCCTTGCCTCATGAATGCGTGGCTCTCCTTTATCTACATGGTGGTCCTTCTGGTATAAAGATCATTTGGTTTCCTGCTTCTCCCACTATAATGGTTTTACAAATAATGTTCAATATTTTATATAGTATTCCTTCACTCACAACCATATAACTTCCATCAAGTGGGCTTACCCTAATTTGCTCACCACTGTTGGGCATGTGGCGTAATAATGATGATATGTGAACATTACTAATAAAATACATTTATCATAAAATTTTTGTCAATGAATACTATTTATTATATACATCATGTGTCAGACACTGGGCTAATTGCTGCTGTGAATTATTCAGTGATTCAATAATTCTACGATGAAGTTATTGTAATCATTCAATGTAGAGTTTGAGAAACTGAGGCTCAGCCAAATGTGAGAACTGCCGAAACCGGTTTGGCTCAGTGGATAGAGTGTCGGCCTGCAGACTGAAAGGTCCCAGGTTCGATTCCGGTCAAGGGCATGTACCTTGGTTGCGGACACAGCCCCAGTAGGGGGTGTGCAAGAGGCAGCTGATCGATGATTCTCTCTCATCGATGTTTCTAGCTCTCTGTTCCTCTCTCTTCCTCTCTGTAAAAAAATCAATAAAATATATTTAATAATAAAAAAAATGTGGGAACCTGCTCAAGATCACATGGGCAGAACACACTCAAGGGTGGGCTTGGCCCCGGGGATACTCGAATTAAGGGAAGAGGAGCAGGAGGGGCAGGGAGGGGTGTGGGCAAGCACAGAGGGAGTGGCTTTCTTCAGCACAGAGATGCCCACCTTCCCCATGGGGCCAATGAGGAAGCGGAGGCACAGAGGAGGTGAGACTTGGGCACAAACAGACTCCAAAACCCCAGTGTGGGAGCTGTGCCCTGCCTCCCTCGCCTCATCTCAATGACTCAGCCTCCTGCAGTCCAGAGCGGGCCCATGGGTGTCCACGCTATGTCGGCTAATTGGAGGGATTTCAGGGCAGCGGGAAGTTCCCAGCCCATCTCTCCTCACGTTCTCGTCCCTCATGTGCCTGTCCTGTGACTGCCGTCCTGTGCAGTGGGGTGTGAGCTCCGCATGGCCGAGAACCCTTCGCCCTGGCCCGCCAAGGCCCAGGGAGGTGCCAGGTCACAGTGTGGATGACAAAGGCTTTTCTTTTTTCTTTTCTTTTTTTTTTTAAATATATTTTATTGATTTTGTACAGAGAGGAAGGGAGAGAGATAGAGAGTTAGAAACATCGATGAGAGAGAGTCATCGATCAGCTGCCTCTTGCACACCCCCTACTGGGGATATGCCCGAAACCAAGGTACATGCCCTTGACCGGAATCGAACCCGGGTCCCTTCAGTCCCCAAGCCGACGCTCTATCCATTGAGCTAAACCGGTCCCGGCCAAAGGCTTTTCTTATACAAGTAACAATCAGAGCAGTAGGTTTGGGGACTTACGCAGAACAAAGGCAGAGGAATCAGGGCGTCTGACTGTGTGGGAGAGAGATGTGTACTGTTTTGGAGGTTAATAACCGAAACAAAAATAAATGGACTGGAACTTTCCAAATATTTACAATTGGAAAACTGCCTTTGGCGCATCTCAAGTCTGTCCTGGAACATGTGCTGGGAGCAGAGGGTTGCACATGGGTGAGGGGCTATTGTGCTCTTGGAGTGAGGAGGACCCATTCCACTGTCAGGAAAGGAGAGAAGAGGAGAGGAGAGAGGAGAGGAGAGGAGAGGAGAGGAGAGGAGAGGAGAGGAGAGGAGAGGAGAGGAGAGGAGAGGAGAGGAGAGGAGAGGAGAGGGGAAGGGAGGAGAGGGGAGGGGAGGGGAGGGGAGGGGAGGGAGGGGAGGGAGGGGAGGAGAGGAGAGGATGGAGAGGAGAGGAGAGGAGAGGAGAGGAGAGGAGAGGAGAGGAGAGGATGGAGAGGAGAGGAGAGGATGGGAGAGGATGGGAGAGGATGGGAGAGGATGGGAGAGAGGCGAGATCAGGAGAAGAGAGGAGAGGAGAGGAGAGGAGAGGAGAGGAGAGGAGAGGAGAGGAGAGGGGAGGGAAGGGGAGGGAAGGGGAGGGGAGTGGAGGGGAGGAGAAGGGAGAGGAGGGAGGAGGAGAGGAGAGGAGAGGAGAGGAGGAGGGGAGAGGAGGGGAGGGGAGGGGAGAGGAGAGGAGAGGAGAGGAGAGGAGAGGAGAGGAGGGGAGAGGAGGGGAGAGGAGAAGAGAGGAGAGGAGAGAAGAGGAGAGGAGAGGAGGGGAGGGGAGGGGAGGGGAGGGGAGGGGAGGGGAGGGGAGGGGCGAGATCAGGAGAAGAGAGGAGAGGAGAGGAGAGCAGAGGAGAGGAGAGGAGAGGAGAGGTGAGGAGGGGAGAGGAGGGGAGAGGAGGGGAGAGGAGGGGAGAGGAGGGAAGAGGATGGGAGAGAGGCGAGATCAGGAGAAGAGAGGAGAGGAGAGGAGAGGAGAGGAGAGGAGAGGAGAGGAGAGGAGAGGAGAGGAGAGGAGAGGGGAGGGAGGGGAGGGGAGAGGAGAAGTTCCTGAGTGAATGGAACTGGTGCCGATGGAGACAGTGCCGTCCTTTCACCCCTTGTATGTGGAAAAATGTCAGACTGACAACCTGGGCCAAGGCTATGAAGACTATGAAATCCCTCTCAGGACCAGGCGTAGTGAGAAGATGCACTGACTCCATAGAGGGCGCAGGACAAACGGAGACACTGAAACAGAGAGGAGCCTGAGACAGTCCTGGGAGGCAGGGACTGCTGAGAGACTATGGAGTGAACAGACAGGAGTCTTCTGAGCAGCAGGAAAAAAGGAAAGAAGGACAGAGTATAGCTTTCTTAATTCCACTTCATGCCACCAGTGTGGAAAGTCCCACACCGTCATTTATGTGTTTCCCCTATTTTTAATCAGGATTGTAAGATTATATTTTCTAATAAACAGTTTTCTTAGAAATTAGTTCAATACATTTGGGTTATGGAGATCAATAATCTGCCTCCAAGTAAAAATAATAATTTTAAAAATACACAAAGAAAAAAAAGCATGTAAGCTGCTCAAAAGTAGAATAAAGGAGACAATACATTTATGAGCATAAATCAATGAAGTAGGAAAGACAGGTAGAACAGAGCAGATCAATAAAGGAAAAAGCTGGCTGTTTTAGAAAAAACATCTGATGAGATAAACACACAAATAATTTTACCAATGACAAATGGGACATAACTACAGACTAGTGAAAGCAAAACATGTAGTTAGAGAATAGTATGAAAAACCTTATGCCAATAAATTAAAAAACAAATGGACAGATTTCTAAAAAAAAAAAAAATACCTTTTACTATAACTGACACAAAAAGCCTAAATGGCCTTAAAATAATTAAATGAATTAAATCAGTAGTTTGTTTAAATATTCCCCCGGGCACAGATAGGTTTCAATTAACTTATAAATTCTTCTACAGCATAAGAAACTATCTACTCCCACATCGACTTTATGAGACCAGAAAAGCTTGCTATGAATCCAAATCAGGAAAGTAAGAGAATGGAAAACAGTATTCCAATCAATGTACAGAAACCCTAAGAAAGCTCTGGCCAGGTGGCTCAGTTGATTGAAATGTCATCCTATACACCAAAAGGTAGTGGGTTTGATTTCCCATCAGGGCACATACCTAGGTTTCTGGTTCAATCTCAAGCCTGGGTGCATACAGGAAGCAACAGATCAATGTTTCTCACATGGATGTTTCTTCCTCTCTCCCTTCCTCCCTTTAAAATCAATAAAAAACATATCCTCAGGGGAAGACTTAAAAAAAAAAAGAAAGAAAAAAAGACACCATAAGAAAAATTTAAAAGAGGCCACAAACTTGAAGAATATAATTGTAACATCAATAATAACAGAGGACAAAAAAACCCTAAAAATCCACAAGAATAAGAGCAGGGCCCAACTACATAGCCCAATTGGTTGGAGCATCATCCCAGTACATCTAGGTTTCCGGTTAAATTCCCGGTCAGGGTGAATGTAAGAAGATATAATAAATGCATAAAGAAGTGGAATAACAAATTGATATTTTTCTCTCTCTGAAGTTAATAAATAAAGCCCTAGCTGCTTTGGCTTAGTGGATAGAGCATCAGCCTGTTCAAGCTGTTCGCAGGGTCCCAGGTTCCATTCTGGTCAAGGGCACATGTCTCTGTAGGAAGCTCCCGGCTCTGGCTGGGAGCACATGGAAGGCAACCAATCGATGCATCTCCTTTACATCGGTGTTTCTCTCTTGTCTCTCCTTCTCCCTTCCACTCTCTCTAAAAATCAATGGAAAAATATCCTCAGGTGAGAATTAAAAATAATAAATAAATAAATAGATAGATAAATATTAAAAACAAATAATAAGACAAAAAAATAGAAAAATTGGCAAAATGCATGAATAGACACTTCACTTTAGAAGAAGCACAAATGGCAATAAACCAGCTCTCACAGTAACAAAAACAATGCAATGTAAAGTCAGCGAGAGACCTTTTCTTATGCTGTATTGACAAAAAGTAAGTCTCATAAGGCCCAGTGTTGGCAGGATATGGCTTCACAGGACACGCGCTGTGGGCAGGTAGAAGCTGTACTGACTCGTTAGAAAGCAGCCTGGCCCCAGCGGGTGACGCGGAACCCTGACCTCCGGGCAGTACATACGGCTGAGGAGGGTTTTCCAAACAGCAGACTGAAAACCACTACCGAGTCATGAAATCAGCTGAAAGGATTGAGATCAGAATTTTTTAAAAATTAAAAACATCCGAAAGCAGGATGAGCAAATAGGATGAGCATCGTTTCATGGCGTGTTTACGTCGGCTGGGCCTGTGGGACGGGGTGCTTGGTGGATATGTGGGTGTCACCGTGGCGTCAAATGTCTTTCTTTCTCTGCGTCATGGCAGCTAAACGGGAAAACCCTGTGGGAACTCACTCATTTCCCTTGAAAACGTGGATAAAGTTCCTTCACAAGAGCTTTTATGCAAAATATCAAAAACACAGCCTGATTGATTGGCCACTGGAGATGAGAATGGTAAGTAGATGATGGTGTACAGACATAGTGAAATGTAGTGAGTGAGGAGAACAGCTCTTCAGCCACACATAACAGCTTGGATGGGTCTTCGAATACTGGGTGACAACAGGAAGCCTCAGAATTCCACATACTTCACACCTTAATCATCAAGTTTAAAGTCCATACTAAAAAAAATCAATAAAGACAACCAAAAGTGTGGATCTAGAAGCCAGACTGTCTGGGCTCAACTCCTAGCTCCACCCTCCATTACCATGCCACCTAGGGCAACATCCTTACCTTCTGAGCCTCAGTTTCTCGTCTGTGAAATGGAAATAATAACCTACCTCGTGTTTTTATCATTAAAACCTATGAAGGAGCACAGAAGAAAGAACAGAATTAGCATCGTTACGGTTCTTAAGTTGGGGAGTGGGTGCACGAATGTTCATTTTACGTGTCCGTGTATTTTTGTTTATAAACCAAGTAGTACACATTTCAATCGCATGAGCTGCAGTGACAAGGCTCTGTGTTCTCGGGCTCAATAATAAGACACTGAGGGCCGAGGGTGGTGACAGCCTGAGCAGTTTCGTACCTGGTTCTGAGCTTGTCACCCCCAGACTTGGCCCAGCTTCCAGGCAGGCTAACCAGTAGCCTTTCTCCATGTTGTTTAGTGTGTTGAGCCAGCAGTTCCTGCACCACGACCTGCCTGCAGAGTTACCATTTGTCAGTCATTTTGTCCAGAATGCAAAAAATATCAGTGCCTTCACATGCTACATCCCAGTGAGTTCTAGTTGCTTCGAGTAAACTCCCTGAAAGGAACCAATGACCTCCTCCTTCCAGGGTCCTCTCTGCCCCACAGCAAGTGGGTGGAGCTTACCATCCACTCTCATTCCTCCCAGCATGGCCAGCAGCTCCCTCTCCTCGGGGACCCCAGGCATGAATGCTGGTCCCAGTGCCACTTACTTCAGCTGCCACTTCAGATTAAACCAACTTGCCTTTCCTGGACCAGACAGACGTTTAGTCTGTTTTCTTTTGTGCCTCTGATAGTCTATGGCTGATTAGGTTTGGGTGGAAAAAGCATTAAAATGTACACGTAAAACCATTTCCATCCATCTCCTTCCTCGTTTGCTTTAAAGCTGTGATTTGGCCTGAACGTACTGCATGCTCTTCCAGGTTTGTCAAAGATGCCCGTGGCTCGCCTGTGGCAGAGCCAGGCCCAGCTGGTGGCCTCAGCTGCCAGGCCTGTCCAAGAGACCACCTTGGACCACCCTGCCCACGAGCCTCCAGCTGACCGCCTTGGTGAGAGCGGCCCAGGCAAGGCCAGTGAATCGCACTGGGTGACCCAGCCCAAACGAACCACAGATCCGTGAGCTAACAACTGTGACTTGTTTTAAGTCACTAAATTTGGGGATGGTTTATTATGTAGGAATAAGTGGCTGATTCATTCTCCTATAAAACCAGTGTCAGAATATTTCCTTTTTTGTTCTATATATGTTCATGTTTTATATAGAGATGCTATAAAGTATATATGCTTTTGACCCGCGGTATATCATAAGTAGTATTTATGGTTCCCATTGTTGTTTCGGATTCTAGCTATGTGTTTAATGGCTATCTGTTCAGTTAGATATTTAGGCTGTTTCCAATTATGTAGTGTCACTAATACCTTGACATCAACACATTCCAACAAAGAGCACTGCCCTCTTTCTGGTTGTCACCTAAGGATAAATCCATGCATCAGCCGACACGGAGGTTTTTGTAAAGGCCATCCTGCCTATATGAGGGACACTGGTAGCTCCTCCAGTCACATGTCTGCGAAGCTCTCCTGGCAGTGGGAGCAGAGCCAGGCGTGCAATCATAGGACAGTGTCACACCCATGTTCTGTCCAATGCCATGTGCCAAACAGAAGCAGCGGACTGACAACCCAGAGCCTCATGCAGTTACACCGAAGCTTTCAGGTTCTCCCCACCCCGGCCTGCCCCCTAAAGCCCATGGGGGCCACAGGGCCCACTTTAGGCAAGTGACATGCAAGCTGGTGTGATGCTCCCACTTGTGACTGCTCCCTAACTCTGGCTTTAGTCTACATCTGAGGCTGCCACGCCAATTCCATGCATAGATGTGGCATTCTTAGGCCTTACGATGTTGCCTGTTTATTATAAACTAGAGACTCAGTGCACAAATTTGTGCATGGGTGGAGGGTCCCTCAGCCTGGCCAGGAATCAGAGCCGTCTCGCCCTGTCCCAAGTGGGGCTGAAGGGGTTGGTGAGTGGGGGAGGGACCACGGGAAGGCTCCAGGGTGTGTCCGGCCCTCTCATCCTGTCCCAATCAGCCAACCCCAGAAACAAGCTAATCTACCAGTGGGAGCATCTGCCCCCTGGTGGTTAATGTAGGTCATAGCAACTGGTCGAGAGATCCACCAAATAGTTGACCAATGATTTGGACACCTAGCATATTATGCTTTTATTTTATAGGATTATATAGGACTAGAGGCAGGAAATTTGTGCACTGGGTGGTGGGTGGGGGGCTCCCTCAGCCCAGCCTGCATCCTCTCACAGTCCAGGACCCCTTGAAGGCCCCTTGAGGGATATCTGCCTGCCGGCTTGTGATCGGGCCTAAGCTGGCAGTCGGATATCCCTCACACAGTCTGGGATCCCTCTTGCAATCCTGTATCCCTTGCTTCTTACCGCCTGCCTGTTAGCTGCTCCTTACTGCTTGGCTCACTGGTCCTTAATGCTGCCATAGAGGTGAGAGAGGCTCCTACTACCACCACTGCTCTCACCAGCAGCGAGCTCGGCTTTTGGCTGAGCGATGCTCCCCCAGTGGGACCACACTGACCACCAGGGGGCAGCTCCTGTGTTGAGCATCTATCCCTGGTGGTCAGTGCTCATAGCAACCGGTCGTTCTACTGTTCAGTCAATTTGCATATTAGGATTTTATTATATAGGAGTACTTTCCTTTTGTTTTTGTTTTTTTTCGTGTTTTTTTTTTAAATATATTTTATTGATTTTACACAGAGAGGAATTGAGAGGGACAGAGAGTTAGAAATGTTGATGAGAGAGAAACATCGATCAGCTGCCTCTTGCACACCCCCCACTGGGGATGTGCCCGCAACCAAGGTACATGCCCTTGACAGGAATCGAACCTGGGACCCTTCAGTCTACAGGCCGACGCTCTATCCACTGAGCCACACCGGTCCTGGCTCCTTTTGTTTTTTGATGTATTATCTTGAATTCTTGAATTTATGCCTCTAGATAAATTATACTATGATTTCATTTCAGGATAATAAAGGGGTGTCACAAAATATTGTAACACAGGAGCAATGTCCTGTACAATGAAGGGTTCTGGGTTTGATTCCCAGTTGGGGCATATACCTAGGTTGCAGGTTCAATCCCCAGACGTGGATGAAAGAGTGCAGGAGCAACCAAACAATGTTTCTCTCTCACTTCTATGTTTCTCTCTCTCTCTCTCTCTCCCTTTGCCTCTCTCTAAAAGTCAATGAACATGTCCTTTGGTGAGAATTAACAAATGATAGATAATTAATTAATTAATTAAAAAGAGGGCATCAGGCCTAATAAGTTTAAGAATCATTGTATTAGGGATTGAAGGACATGAACATTAGTATGGCTGCTATACAAAATAAAGGTGAGAATCAAAACATTTCTAGCAGAGGAAAAATTGGAGGGAAATTGACACATTTTAACTAGAATTCTAATAATAATTCAAGTTTCACTGACACATCACTAGGATTAACACTTATATACTTTTTTTCTAATTTGTTAAGTTTATGATGGCTATAACTCTAACTCCCTCTTGGTACGAGAGTACTGTCATCCCAAGAATTAAATTTTGCTTTCTCTTTACCTCATACCTTTATCTTTCTTCATTTATCTTCTTGCCTTTATTGCTCCTGATGACATAGAGCACAACCACCTGTTATGGTCTCCTGTCTTTATACTGCTGGAAGATGAATGCTGGAGATCAGAGTGCCCACTGTGTGCTGTCCAAGGACGCACAGCCCCACACTGCAAGCTGAGCAATCTCTCCTGAACCCTAACAAACCCCCTCCATGTCCAGTATCTCATCCAATCTGACCAATTCCTGAATGACTTCCTTCTGCTTTGGAATGACATAATTATCCAGTTCAGGTGCTAAACACAACGGAAAAAAGAGAGCACTGGGCCCTGGCTGATGTCACAAAAGCAGATTTTTTTTTCTCCTTTCTTTCCTCTTTGCCTCTTGCTCTTGGCATCTTTCCTCCTTTTCTAGGTCATGAGACAAGAAAACGTGATTTTAAAAATGAGTGTATTTTCTGCTGCTGAAGCCCCTGTGGTGAAAGATTAAATGATTGAAGCCATCATCTACCATGGGGTTTGGGGATAGCACTCTCTGGGTCCAGTACTTCACTTGATAAATGACCAGGCGAAGACAAAGATAGAGCAGTCACCTTCTCTACCGGGCGTGCAATGAAGGCGAGCTCGCTTCACCTCGGAGATGTGTCTGGAACACACTATAGTGTATTATGTGTGCATACATACACAATATATGTGCTATATACTAATACCAACATGCCACATGTTACATACTAATACATTATATACACATAAGTATACCCATATAAGTATTTTTAACTTTCTATTTTAAAATAATTATAGATCCCCCAAAAGTTAAAATAGCACAGAGAGGTATTACTGTCCAGTCATCACCCAAATTACCCCAAAAGTGAGATCTCACATAACAGCAGCAATTATCCAAACCAGGAAGTGCACTAGCATTTTTATATATTCACTAGAGATCTCGTTATTTAAAAATGAACTGAAAAGTAGATCACTCTGCAATTCGAAGTATCCTTTTTGCAAAATGAGTAATCACCTCCTTATCTAAGCCTGGGTTTTTAATACCTATACCAGATTTTCCCAAGTGGACCAATGACGCTATTTCTCGCTAGGCGATTATTTTTGTGGCTGAGCCGTTCTCCAGTTCTGCCCGTGAATTCTCTCCGCCGCCCTCTGTGTGTGATTAATCCCCAGCGGCTGAGCCTGGTGCACCTGTTCCCGAGCCTTTCTCCGGAGAACTCCAGGGGCCTGAGCAGTCAGCACAGCGACATCCTTCCCTCTGGAAAAGACCCACCTGCAGGTGGAATCACACTCATCTACAGCCTTGGAAACTCTGAGTCTAGGCAGTTGTGCAAAAAATGACATCATAAGCATGCATTCATAATGGATATCATATGCATCAGGCAACGGCAATCAGGTAACATCAACAAGAGTGAGTTTTTAGGACAAATGGCTTTTCAAGGCATCTATGAAGCAACTAGCATTTCCACGCATGCAGCATCTCACTGATTTATGCCAGGCTCAGGGAAATTTGGGTTACAAAGTCTAAAAGGTGGGATCTAGTGCCAAGGTAGGAACACACAGAGCCAATGAGAACAGAAACAGGTGTCTAAGCAAAGCCACCAGACGCCACCCACTCTGCGACCAGGACACACCAGGCAGTGGGGATGCACTCAGGTGTGAGCCACGGAGGGCAACAGAGTCATTCGGAGTGGCAGTACGGATGGCATTGGGGACCCAAATAATGCCGAGCAGGACAGGCCACAAAATGTGGGGCCCAGTGCACAATGAAAATGTCCCAAAAGTATTAAGAATTTCCAGATGGTGAGAGCAGAGCATTAAAGCAATCAGGGCCCCTCTGAGCTCAAGGTC